TTGAATGAAAGTAATTGTATTATCTCGAGGTACTCGTTTGTACATATTTTATGTATACGTACATACTATTTTATGCATACGCGACCCGTGGTTTCGCTTTTACAGGTCGGTAATTGGCTACAAGTTTGAGCGTTTTGTCACGAGCGGCATCACCAGTACCCGAGTTTTTGCTTTTACAGGTTGGTAATTGGCTATTAGTTTGAGTGATTTGCTACGAACGGAGCCACCAGTACTCTTGACCACAAAAGGTTAGAGGTTAGAGCATAGATGAGGTAGACAAACTCACAAACTTTACAGACTATAAACATATGTGATGGATTGTAGTGTTAAATGTTTGGATGTTTGGCTCCATTTGGCTCCAAGTTTTTGATAAGTCTCTAACGAACATTTATTCCCCATTGCAACTCGTTTTTTACCAGTTAAATGACTTACCACGGTTTACATATATGTTAATACACATATAGTGACTGCAGAAAATATTAAATACTCTATAAAGAAATTAGTATCTAACTAGTTTAAAGTAAACGTGCAATATGAACGATTCAGATGCACGATTAGAAGCCATAGAAGAAGAGCAGGAGGAAGAAGAATTAACTGCTCAGAGTGCTTTGTTAGCGATCGAACAAGCTTGGTTGAATGAAAAATTTGCTCCAGAGATACTCCCCCATCAAGCCGACTTGGTCGACTGTATGTTGCAACAGATAACTCATATGGAAGACAACATGAAGAGGTTAACCAAGGGAGATTTAAGGATAATGGTTCATAGAATGGAATTGGATAGGATCAAGTTTGTGATATCTAGCTATCTTCGAGCTCGATTAGAGAAAATCGAAAAGTATACCATTCACATACTTTCTCAGGAGGCCAACAGATCTCCAGAAGAATGTTATCTGACACCTGCAGAACTGCAATTTGCTAAAGAATTTCTCGCTAGTATGGAAACTCTATTTAGAACAATTGCTCTGCAACACATGCCCGGAAACTTTCAGACATTTGAAGTTAATAGACTGAGTATAAAGCCCAATATGCAGACGTATGTATTTCTAAGGGCCAATCAGAGAATCGATGGAATTGTGTTGCCCGGGTCTTTAGATGAAGAAATAGATTTTGAGCAAGGCTCACAGCACATTATACAATACAGTGCTGTTGCAAATTTAGTTAAAAGCGGTGCTGTTCAATTAATTTAACATTTAGGATGCACAATATAGAATATATCTAAATTTTTATAGACATTATTTAATAAAGTTTTGAGAACAATGTTGCATAAAAAAAGCTATTTTATTAGAAACATTACATATCTGTATATATAATTTATTTAAAAAAAGTTGAGAGAATTATAGGGCAGCATAGATAATACTAAACAATTTCTTCGTAACATTGTATAATGTTGTTCACAAAAATATCTTTGTAGACATTTTTTAAAAGCAAAGTATACATATAAACTATGCATTTTAATGCAAAACGTGAAAAATATACT